GCCCCCGCCGCCGCGGCCGCTGCTAGCGCCGTCCCCGCGCCCGCCAAACCGCCCGCCGCTGCGCTGCCGCGCCAGGTCGGCTGCGCCGGGGCCGCGCTCGCTGCCGCTGCTGCTGACGCTCAGCCGCCGGCCGTCGGCCGGCGCGCGCGCCGCAGCGCCCGCCGCCGCCGCTGCGGCTTGCTCGCCAGGGGGCGCAGAGACGGTGCGCGGGTGAGCGTGAGCGTGGCCGCGAGCGGCGGCCGCGGCGGATTGCTTTGCACGCTCAGCCCATGACAACGGCCCCTTGGGAGCAGGCGGCGCAGGCGAAGACTCCGCCGGCGGCCCCGCAGGCGCTGCCTCGCCAATTGCCGACGTGGTCGGGCCTGCGACACCGGCTCCTGGCGGTGCCTCTGAGGGGCCTGTGCTGCTGCCACTGATGCTTGCACGTTCTGTTGCAGCGTGAGTCGCCGCCGCCTGTTGCTGCTGCACTCGATCCTGCTGCTGCTGCTGCTGCTGCTGCTGCTGCTGCTGCTGCTGCTGCTGCTGCTGCTGCTGCTGCTGCTGCTGCTGCTGCTCCCCCTGGTCTGGCTGAACACGTGCGGGCACATTCCCTGCTGCCGCGGCCAGCCTGGGCTCTCCCGGCGCGGCCGCTGCTGCCGCTGCCGGCAGCGGGGCAGCCAGCGCATTGGATGGCCCAACTGCCGCTGCAGCTACCGCCCTTGCTGCGGAAAGGGTTGGCGCAGCCGCAGGCGCAGGCGCAGGCGCAGGCGCAGGCACAGGCGCAGGCGCAGGCGCAGGCGCAGGCCCAGGCCCGGCTGCCACCGAGGGGGGCGTTGACCGGCTGACGTCCAACTCCACATCAAGGGAGCCAAAGCATATGCTCAGGCCGCCCACAGGCGGCGTGCCCGGCCGATTCGCCGCCACCGAAGGCCCGGCCGCCGTCCCTGCGAGCGCGGCTGCAGGGCCGCCCGCCGAGGGCGCTGCGACCGCTGCAGACGCCGCTGCGCTCGGGCCAGCCGGCGCCGTTGAACGGGGCGCCGCAGGGAAGCCGGGGGGGTGCGCTGGGGAAGCTGGCAAGGGCGCTGGTGACGCTGCTGACGCCCCCGCAGCCGCTTCGGGCGCCGATGCCGCGGCTGCCGCCTCTGGTGCCGCTGCCGCCGGTGCCGCCGCTGCTGGCGCGGCCGCAGCCGGTGCCGCCGCAGCCGGTGCAGCTGCGGCCGGAGCAGCCGCAGCTGTTTCGGACGACGGCGGCGCCGCTGCTGCTGCATGCGCACCGCCGGGCTGCGCTGTGCGTGGGTCGCCCGCCTGCGGCCTTTGTGCCGGGGCCGCATGGGGTGCCGGCGCGGCGCGGCTGCTGCCGCCCCCGCCGGCTGCGATCGCGGACCACGCCGGTCTCGGCCCCGCCCACGCGCTCGCGGTGGGGGAGGGTGCCGGCCTGGGGCCTGCAGGAGCCGATGGCGCCGCAGCTGCACGCGGCGAGATTGGGGGCGTGTCCTGCGCACGAGGCGACGCTGCCGCGGGCGCTGCCGGGGAGAGCGGCTGCTTGGCGGATGGCGCCGTGGCGGGTGCGTTCGGCGCCGGCGCCGCCGCGGGGCCGGCCGGCGGCGCGGCCCTTGGGCTTGCGGCCGCGTCCCCCCCGTTTTCTGTGGGCGGTGCTGCCGCGCCGGCGCCGCCGGCGGGCGCCGCGCGCCTGACGCTCCCAAGAGCCAGCATATGAGGCTCTGTCGAGGCGCCGGGCGCTTTAGCCACCGACTGCAGCTGCTGCGGCTGCGGCACCTTGACGTGCGGCTGTGGTGCGCGCGGCGCTGCGGGCGCGTGCGCGAGCTTGGCGCCCCACGCGCCGGGCGCGGCGCCGGCGGAGGGCGCGCCCGCGCGGAGCGCGGGAAAGGCTTGAGAGCTGCCAGGGTCGGGCCGGCCGGCCTGTGGGCCAGGGCGATCGCCAGCAGCTGGCTTCACGCCACCACCACCCATCCCGCCACCGCCGCGGCCGGCCCCAGGCCCACCCCGACGGAAGCCAGCGTCCCCGCGGCCTGAGGCGCCACCACCGTGCCTGCCGCCGCGCCCCCCGCCCTCATCCCGACCGCCTCTGCGGCCCCCCTCCCTGAAGTTACGCGGCGCCTGCGATCCAGTGACGTGGTGGAGAGCCTCGTTCAGGCCTGTGTGGAGCTTGAGCCGGGCTTCCCAGGCGGTCGGGACGCCAATCTCAGACTGTGCCGCATGGTGGGCACCTACTCACCCCATCCGAGGACATATCTGTCGACTGTGGCTGTACGGCTCAGAACTTCGCCAGATGGGCCATGCTGTGGTGATGTGATCTCGGCTGGCTTGAGGGGCTCGTGCTATGGCGCTCTGTTCGATGCTAGACGGCGGGTGGTATGCTGTAAATATCTGGATCAAATGTGTAATCTGAGAGAAAGGGTAGCTAGTATGTGGTGCTGTCGACGCACCGATTATGGCGTGTAGACCTGCTACCGGCAGCAGCTGCTGCTGCTGCTGCTGCAGCTGCTGCTGCTCTCAAGATGGGTCAGCGGTGCCGCATTGGCGACCTTGTTCCACAGCTAGCCTCAGAAAGCTTCTGATTTGTTATGATCAGGCTCGTTCGGAGGTGCCAGGCAACAGTTCGTGCACGCGGCCGCGTGCTCAACCTTGCCTGCGGACCAGTCAACGGCGTGTTGTTATGATAAACGAAGCCGCGGCCCTCGTGCATGCACAGGGAAGTTGAGCTATGAAGATAAACAGGTGTCCGAGCGTGCCAATTGATAGGCTTTTACAAATGCAGGCGATTGCCGATTCCCACAGGCTGCCTGCGCCTTGCGGTCTGGCAGCACCACAGCAGGGACCACGCTGCATGGATAAACGGCCGCAGCTGCATGTGTGACACATGCATGTAACACGTCCCCATGCACGTATTGGGAATCATGAGGCTTGCGAGGTGCCCGTCAGGGGCTGGCTGTGGCAGCGCACACGAGAGGGGTCGGACTCGACTTGCTGGTCATGGACGGCTGATGATGTGTACGGTGTGATACTGCCACGCGGTCAGTCAATGCACAGTTTGAATTTCGCAGCTTGAATTGACATTCCTTGACAGGGAAACGTGTTGCATTGAGTTGATATTCAGCCCTCAGCAGACAGTTCGAGGACCTCGATCCCCACGGCTTGTGTGCTTTGTTTCCAGGCAGACAGTGACGAATTTTAATGGGACATCAACCAAAATACGACTTAGTCCTGCGCAGATCGTTGCATTAGCCGCGGCAATTCATCTGTTCCACGCGACGGACACCAGTCTGCATCGTGAAAAGCTTTGTATAGGGATCCCACATCGAAATTTGGGTCTGTAAGAACGGGAGCCCCGTTGAACGCAGTGCCAGGCTGTCCAGCAGCGCCAGCAGCAGCCCATTGTCAGCCCGCGCCGCGCGCGAACGGCCGCCGACAGTCGGCGACGCCCTCGGCCGCCACCGCCGCCGCATAAACAGCTGACCTCGCCGCAGCAGCCACAGCAGCCGGTACGGCAATGGCGGCGGCGGTTTGGGAGTCCTACCGCGCGCGCGTGGCGGACGCGGTCGCGGGCAAGCCTTGGAGCGACGGTGTGCCCGGCGACTGGATACTTGGGGACCGGATCCTGGATGTGACCCTGCTGCCCATATTCTTCGCTTTCGTCTTTGTGGCGCTGCGCGCCGTGGCGGTCAAGTTTGTCTTCGAGGTGGGCAGCTTTCTCCCCCGGGTCCCCTCGAGCAGCGCTCGCGCTCGCAGCAACGGTGCGGGGCGCGCGGCCGAGCGGCGGCGGGGTCTTCGGCCCGGGCGGCACGAAAACGACAGCTGAGGGCGTTCACGCTCAACGCATGCCTGCGTCCGGACCGCACGCGCGCAGCCGATCGGCGTTAGGGTCATGGAGGGGCGCATGAAGAAGACCGATCGCAAGTGGGACGAGCCGAAGCAGGCCGAGTTCATGCGGAAGTGGAAGGAGTCGTCTTGGAAGTGCTTCATCTACATCTTCTTCACCATATTTGTATTCGCGGTGAGGGAACCCCAGCGGCCTGCGGGCGTGGCTGGAGGGTGGGGGCCGCTAGGGCGGGGCGCCAGCAGCGGGGAAGAGGCGGCAGGGGCAGCTGCGTCGCGGCTGCGCGTCCAGCTACTTTAGTGTGTTTGGCGGCTGCGAGCCGCCACGGCTGCGGGCGACGTGAGGAGCTCACCAACGTTAGGAGGCTTGGCAGGTCTCAGCGCCTGGCACGGGCAGCAGGTGGTGCAGGCTGCCGGGAGGGCAGCAGTGGCCGCCGGCGCAACGACTTGGTTGTCGTGTGGCGTGGTGGCGGCTCGGCCTGGCGGAGCGCAGCAAGCGCGCATCGTGTCGCGCCGCCCTGCGGGCTCAGTCCCCTGGTATCCACAACTTCGAGCCACAACCCAAATTGCGTCATCGCATCCCCAAACCTCGCCCCACAACACGCAAGCGCACACACAGACGCGCACACGCACGCACACACACTCACATGCCTACGCTCACACACCACACCTGCCCGCGCCCACCCGTCGGCGGGGGCCGCAGGCCACAGTCACCAAGCCTTTCTTTTGGGACCCCAGCAAGTTTTGGGAGGGCGCCACGAAGTTCCCACTGAACTACTACATCCCATTGGAGCACGTCCTGTTCTATACCATGCAGCTGGGCTTTTACCTGCAGGTATGTGTTGCCGGACCGATCTGAATCCCTACATAACCTTACCGAAACCCTGTATCGACCCTACATGTATCTGCTAGACGCTGCCGGAAGGGAGCCTTGGTTGGGGGTCACTGGCAGGCGAGGCGCGGGTTCCCCACTGCTTGCAGCGGGGCGGCAGCCGCAGGATCGAAGCAGGGTCCTCCGAGTCGCTGGTCTCGCCCAAGGGAACGCGAGCGGGCAAAGGCGCGGCACCGTTTGCGAAGACGCCGGTGCCGTCCAGCCGATCGTTGCATCGCGCCACACAGCCCCGCGGCGCCGCCGCCCCCGCCGCCCCCCGGCC